CCGCGAACGAAGCATATCATTTTGTTTTTCTGAATGAAAAATTCAAACATCGAAAGATAAAAGGAAGAAAAAGTATATCATATAAAACATGTATAACTCCTTTCTAATATCTAATCTTTGTTTTTATTGATTTTTATTTCCCCCGAAGTGATTTATTACATTTTTTTTGATTTTATTCAATTCAATTTTTTCAAGTGCAAAAACTCAGCAGGTTAAGTGACGAGATCTGATCAGGCTTGATTTGGTCAAGTATCCATCAGACCATTTCAGAATAATTTGTTCGTAATCTACGATCAAGATTGGCATTTTCTCGACTAAGAAATAGTTAAGAAATAATCTAGAAAAATTAGTATGAAAATAGATAAATTTCGTATGTTTTGCCAAGTTGTTGATATGGATCTATGTGTGAAAAACAAAATGGTGAATAAACAGTCACTACATATAATGTAATAAATGTATCGTATCCTATAGAGTTTTCCTCAGTAAAATTACTGATTCGAGTATCCATATAAGTAGTTGTTCAGTGAGCGTACTTTTATGGGTACTCCATGTAGTATATATATCAATGTAATTACTAAAAATTTTCGAAGTACGCAAATTGGGTACTCTAGTAAGGCGTTCTCAGTACATGGGTACTCGGAACTCAGCACTTTCTCTCGAGATAACGGGTGTAGGTGTGGGTGTGGAGAGCATGTAAAGGAGAGGAAAGTTCGCAAGTACTCAGAGTCACCCACACTCGCTAAAATATTTTTGCTATTAATATTTTTAAACAGTTATCTGATTAGATCCAAGAGAATTCAATGCAACATAAATAAGAAAGTCAGCGAAAATTTCGATGGAAGTGGTAGATTTAGTTGTAGGTATTCTAGATAGTAGTGGGCACATCCACACTTATTGCCGACCTCTTACATATCCATAGCGATTCTTCAAACAAATTGCTCAATGATAGAGAAACTTAATTCGTCATATTCAAGTATTGAAAAAAGTGCTGTGAACCTTGCTATTTGCTTAAATCACACATGATTCTCTTTGTGCTATTTCTGCTGTATGTTCCCGAGAATTAGAAGAAGATAAAGCGCTTGATTTCAAACTGAAACGAACACCTAATGACTCTTTAGAATAGTTAACAACCATCCGTACCATATAGACTTTTTTTGCTGAAATGAGTATAGGCCCTTAGATCCAAAACTCACAATACATCATTGTATATGGCTGAATTATTCTAAGAACTTCTTAGCTTTATCTTAGATAAAAAAACACGGCTATAGAATAAATGTTGATAGTGAATTAGTTCGTCTTTTCATAATTTTGCAATATTTATTATTTAACTTTCTTATTATTATCAGCTTCTATCTTTTATCTTTCGTGTATTTACCATTTATTTCTACTTTTTTTTTATCTTCATACTACAAATTTTCATAGACGTGATAAACAAGAGCATATTTAAGAAAAAAAACCATTCAAATACGATTATCTATATATTTGATAATAATGTTGTTTTTCCTATTGATTTTTCCATCAATTTTTATTCCTATACAAACAATATCTATTGAAGAATCTAATTCGACAACAACTTTTAGTACTGATAAGTAAAGTATCTCAATTTTGAAATGAATATTTAAATATAATCGATTAAAATCTAGATTACCAAGGATTGGTCCTTTACTTGATTTTCGACTTTTACCCTATATTGGTAATGGTCACATAGCTACTGTTGTATACAGTGATTTTATTTATATGAATGGCCTTTATAATGGTGAAAATGGTTTGTATATTGTTTTCTTGTTTTTATTTCTTGGTTATTATTTTTGAATTAAAGGTACGAGCCATCGGGCACGTATTCCAAGTACAGTAAATTGGGAATTTATAATAATATCAAAATCATCATTATATACTTTAAATGTTTCATCAGGTAAAAAGAAAACTTTTCTCAGTCGTTTTAATTTAATTTAAATTCTTAGGTATATTCATTGAAACCCATGAAAATCATGAAGTTCGAATTGAACGACGTATCTTTGCTTCACAAGAATATACTGAATTATTAGTTACTCATGTAGTACTAATTCGAAAAACACCTAAAGGTTAAATTTTTAATATTAATTTGTTTTCTTTTTCTTAATATTCTACTTTAGGACGGAAAATTGTTGTACCTGTTAAAGTACATGAACAAACAACCAGTATTGATATTAATTTTACTGTCGCAGCTCGTAATCCTCAATACGTGTATATAAGAATTTATTTTATTTTAATTTAATTTTTCATTTTTTTCTCGTATGAAAGCCTTTTAATTGGTAAAACACGTGAAATTGAAAATAATCAATTTCAACCAGAAGCATTACCTGTATTTGTTTATTATACACCATTGCCTCATAAAGGATTAGAACTTGATCACGACGAAACAAATCGAACCTATCTTTTTGTTACTTCAATTGATAGTAATCAATCCATAGCTAAACAAAGTTTTGATTATGGTAATTTATATTTATCTATATTTTTCGAATAGATAGTAAAATATTGATTATTTTAATTAGCAACAATTGAACAACAACCAGATATTATATTATCATCACATATATCTCGATGGAATAATGTATGGTCAAATGGATATATTGAGATACAAGGAGATGATGAATTACAAAGACAAATCAATTCTGCTTTCTATTATATTTTAAGTTCTCTACCACCTTTATCAACGAAAAGTAAAGCAAAACAATTTTATGGTTTAAGTCCTGGTACTCTTTCATGGGGTGGTCATGAGGGTGAAGATTATGAAGGTCATTCATTTTGGGATACAGAAACATGGATGTTTCCGTCAGTTCTTCTTTTCTATCCAACGTAAATAAAATAAAAATAATTCTATTCATCGATATAGATTTTCTTTTATTAGATTGGCTAAAGAAATTTTATCGTATCGAATTGCTTTACGTGATTCTGCAGCCTACAATGCTCGTCTATTTGGTTATGAAGGATGGAGGTATCTGATGCATTCTTTATTTTTGTTTATACTAAAATTGTTTTGAATAAGATTTCCTTGGGAAAGTGCTCGAACCGGTGTTGATGTAACACCAGATTGTTGTCCTACTGGTCGTCTTTATGAAATTCATATTACGGGTGATATTTCATTTGCTGCTAGACAATATATTTCAGCTACATACAATCAAGATTGGTTATTGAATGAATTTGGTGGAGAATTAGTTTATGAAACAGCTCGATTTTGGAGTTCACGCGTCATATATAATAATCAGACAAAACAATATGAAATATTGAGTAAATAAATTCTATGAAATAAAAATCTTTTAATATTGTATTTTATTTTTATGTTAGCCGTTTTACCACCCGATGAAGATGCTCAACCATTCAAAAATAATTCTGTTTATACAAATGTAATTGCTTCACTTTCTATTGAATTGGCTCATAATATTAGTTGTATTACTAATAAAACAATACCTCCACAATGGCTGGATATTGCATCTAATCTATATTTTCCTTTCGATAATTCAACTAAAACTTATCTTGAATATGAAGGTTTTGATTTAAGTAAATAATTGATTTGATATGCTTTTATTTGAAATAATTCTTATTGATCATATTTATTCGTTTAGAACATACTATTATAAAACAAGCCGATGTTGTTCTCCTCGGATTTCCATTGATATGGTCAATGAATGATGAAGTGAGACAAAATGATTTATTAGCTTATGAACCTTTAACACGTACTGATGGACCAGCTATGACTTGGTCAATGTATTCAATTGGTTTTACTGAACTAGGTGATTTTGATAAAGCTGGTCAATTTTTTCGACGTTCATACGAAAGTTATGTACGACCTCCATTTAATGTTAGTTATTTAAATATGTTTTTCTTCTTTTAGTTTTTTTTTTATCATTTTATTTTGACATAACAGGTATGGACTGAAACTCAATCAGGTGTTGGTGCAGTTAATTTTATAACTGGTATTGGAGGTTTTTTACAAGCTGTTCTTTTTGGTTATGGTGGTATTCGTCTAAAATTAAATGAACTTGAATTTCAGCCTCGTGGTCATCTACCAGATCAAGCGACTAAATTCATCTTTCATGGCATTAAATATCAAGGATTTGTTCTTGATTTGACTATTGATAATAATATCTATGAAATTTTTGTCAGCTCTCAGAACAATAATGATTCTATTCCTCTTGTATATGAATATGGAGATCATCGAGGTTCGCTAAAAGTAAATGACAGTCTGTCACTTCCTATAGATACACGTCTTATCATTCGTCGATCAGTCGCTCTTTGTCCTTGAAATTGTATTTCATTGGCTATTTTTGCGTCATGAAATAAATAGTTTTGCATTCCTTCAGAATCTGACATATGTTCCTAAGCTTTAGAAAAAGAAAATGAACTACTACCAGTTTCATTGATTTTTCTTCGATGAAATATGTCTCTATTCCAAGATCCTAGAACTCATATTAGAATTCTGAATACTTCGTCTGTCATATACAGATTTTAGCAACAAAAACTTTAGATTTATCGGAGCATACAAAATAATGGGAATTATAGAACAACAAGAATAATTCGAATGCTCAATTGATCAAAATTGTGGCAGTATCAAATTATAAGAACAATGAGAACTATGATTGTTACGTGTTCTCAAATTGGTAAAGAAAAGGATAAATGCTGATGGCTGTATCGATGACCTGAATGCTTACTTTCATAAAAACCATCTTGGTCTCAGAACATTGGTGCACAATGTAATTTTCATGTATTTTCTGTAGCATAATCGACGTATTATCGAGGTTTTGCGTCTTAACTAAATCGTTTGAGGTCTCTAGAAATATCAAAATAGTCTGTATTATTTTCCTGAAAGTACTCAGTTATCGAATGTTGTGGTAGCAATTCTTTACGACATCTTGCCAAAAAAAAAACAGAAGTGGTGTGAAATGATCAAAAACGACTGTGTATATTAGATTTTTATGAGTTTGTTTTCAGGCATCCGTACACCGGAACAGTCCTTCAAAACTAAAATTGGTCACCGGTATTGACCTAAAATAAAACTCTTGGAGTTAAACCAATTAACGATGTTTAATTAATTCCAAATCCTACGAACGGTACTTGAGAGTGTGGAGAAATTGAAGATTAACACAAACACTCACACCCATCGTCGCATGATTATACCAGTTCAAAATAGGGACTTCTGCATTCTTAATATAACTGGTGCAGATGTTCCTCTTATACTTCAGAGTTTATCCTAATGGAGAATGTATATGCATTCTCAAGGGCTCTGGCACTGCGTACAATGCTGGAACTGCATTTCTGAAATTTGGGAGTCAAAAGGACTTGCTCTTGAACTAGTCATCCATCGGTAGGACGTAAAACATTTTCTGATTCCAGAAATGGAACGAATAGATATAATTAATACAATTATGATAACATGTTTGGACAAGTGTGAGTGTGCTCTGAAAAAAAGAATAATTTTGGAATATTTGAAAAATATTTCTAGAGCTTTCATAATCATTTTTCAAGTTATCTTGAATTTTTACGATATCTCAAAAAGGTCTCGTATGGGTGTGGCTCTGATTCTGGTTCTTGATTCGTACCGTCTCTTTAACAATACCCACACTGTCACATCTACGCCTAGATAATGTGTGTTTGTAAATCGATATGAGGATTCACGTTGGTAGGGCGATTGTAGACGCTGATAATAAATTTGCCGGTTTGCATTTTCTTAATAATGTCAATGTGCAACTTCTCATCATCTGTATGCGGAATAATAGCTACATTCACAACTACACCTTCAATATTCTCATCTATATAATAATAAGTGTGATTCCTTTTTTCTCTATACTCAAGGTTTTTTCTCTGAAAATGCAAAACCAATGTAAACAAGCAGCCCATGCACAGTCAAAATAAACTTTCCCTTCAACTTGTCATTCATTTCTTACTACTACTGCTAAGAAAAAAAGCGCACCGCTCACCAAAGAATCGAAACAGAAAAAGAAAAATTCTCTACATGACATCATCTGTTTTTCTTCGCCGCTTCAATTCACAAAATGTAAGAAATATTTTTCTGTTTTCTATATAAATAAAACCTGGCGCAACCGTGATGACAGCCAATGATGTACTTTCTATAGAGGTATCGATAAGAAGACGAAAATTTAAAATAACCATTCATTTCAACAACACGTAGTATTCTGAAGTATTCAATTTTTATGGATTCTAAAATTTCTTGTTCAATGCTGAGTATACCTGTTGATCTTCTGTATCGCATTCTGGATTATCTTGGTGACGTGACAATTTATTGTGCAGTCCGCAATGTTTGCACCAGACTCAACATGATTATTGATACCTATCCTCGATATGCGGTAATTTTTGATATTTTCATAGATTAAGATTGTTCTCATCTTCAAAACATCATTCACCCACGTAATTTTGTTTTTCGATGAAAGCGCGTCTGAGTTGCGTCTTGTTGCGTGTAAAATGCAGCAGAGAAACGCAATAAACGCGTCTCCAGTGAAACATTTCCTGCGTCTAGACGCAGTTGAAGAAAATCGCGTCTAAACGCGGTTGGAAAAAGTCGCGTCTAGACGCAAGAAATGTTTCACTGGAGACGCGATTCTAAACTGAGTCGCCATCGATACCCTCTAACGATGGTCTTTGCCTCACTATAGGCCAACGGAATGTTGAAATGTTGATTTATCTAAAATGATAGAAATGAAATTAGAACAAGTGAACTAGCGATTTAGAATCAAGTATGCATACCATTAAGCCACATGTGACCACAATCACTGTCGAGTGATACAGAAAGTATATATGAATCGTGATTTCATATCTATCTTATGTACAAATGCATTTATCCATAGAACATTTCTGTATAAAATATATTTTATTTGCTAATATTTATATTCTTGTGTGAAGATAAACTTGCATAAAATATGTTGTATATGTATTAAAATTTCTTTAAATCTTTTGCAAACTGTTTTGGAAATAGTTTTATTTATTTAGTATTATTAGTCTATAATTTATAATATAAAATGCTGCTTATCTTTTACAATTTATCAGATATCATGCACTATTTTCGCTTTTCTTTTTTGTTAAGCAATAAAAGCGTTCAGCAAAGTTCTTTTTAAATCACGCTAATGTAAAAATATGCTTCTCAATTTCTAAAGTGTCTTCTTCTATAATTCTTTTTCAAAAATTTATATAAGCCGTTAGAGCACTTCGTGTAGATTTTGCAAGTTTGTTTCTTATGTACACCCGATAGGAAATATAGAGATAATGTGTATCCCTAGGAAACATATAAAAGAGATTTGTCTATTAGATTTTATTTTTGGGTTTGAGTATTTCTTTGTATATCTTCTTTCCATAACAAAAAAATGAAAAGGAGGTACACGATTCGAAATAAATTGAACACTATACCTTCCACAATAACAGTTAATTACTTTTAGAAGCACAGCATTTAAACATTACAAGTATAATTATTGAATGATAAACTATATGTTATCCTTAGAGCAAAGCTCAAATCGGGTACACAATGTATAATTTAAACTTGAAAAATCTTTTTTATCAAAAACTGAAAACAAATTGTATCTTTCCTATTTCAAAGCGGACTTCATCTATGGTTTGATGTAAAACATCATCACCAATCGTGGTCGTTAAAATCAAGAATTGAACCTATGAATATCTCTCTATCTATGTAGAAATTTTTGTTGACAACATACCGAATAGCAAGTACAATTTTAAAATATTACCAGTTTAAAGCACATGAGTTAAGGTTTCTTATTTTACTTGGGTTTTCATCACTGTGCATGTATTTACGAGAGAAATATTGCCGACATTTTCATTACTTGCTATTGCAGCACACCTTTGAAAATGAAAAACCATTATTGCTAAACAATTATCACAAGTCAAAATTTTAATAAGTCAGTTTAATTATCAATTTCTATTGATTTAAGATGCTCGACAAGATGTCACGTTAGTCCATTCATACATGCATTTCACTGACTTAATCAGAGCTATCTTTTTTGTTTACAATTATTCAACTTCTCATTTCGAAAAATATCTAGGTTAGTTAAATGAATGGAAATATGCGACATTTTTCACCAGATATATATTTGAAAATATCACTCAAGTGAGCTGGAATAACATTATAGTACGCAGGATGGTGGAAAACAAAAAAAAACAGCCGAAATAGTTTATATTTATAAATTATTTTGAAAACAAGCTATCGATTAACAGAAATAGCACTGAGTAGACAGTTAGTCTCATTATAGTAGTGATCACTCGCATAACTTTTTTGATACATTAAAAAAAATTAAGTTTTTAAAAAAAGTTATTGAACTACTATAAAATCTTTCTCTTGTACATGAAGCACCTAAATTTTTAAACTAATAGTATCTTCCAATTCTTGTTGAATTTCATTAGAGTGTAGAAAATGAAATTGTATGACTTTCTTTAAACAGCTTTTGGCTAATCGCGTACGCACACGGTTTCATATGAGATCGCGTTAATATCTGTCTATACAGTTTTTATTTCCCGCGTACAATCAAGGTTCTACAGAAAAATGCGTTCGCCTGCGTCTCATAGCTTCATATAAACACATATAGGTGCATTTTATCTCAAATAGCATCCACACGAGTTTGAAAATTTCTTTATCCAACGCATTTACATGAAGTCTTATAGAAAATCACTTCCAGTGGCCGTTCAAAATCTCTTATGACCACATCTAGATGTTTTTTAGATGCAATCGCATTCAGACGCAGATAGAAATCAGCTTCTATCCCCATCTGAACGCGACTTCATTTACACTCGCGTCGAAACGCGTTTCAAAAACCTTTTTCAGCTGCGTATAGACGCGATGCTATATGAAAGCACGTTCAAACGCGATGAAAACCAATTGTAAACGCGTCTGGTGTTTACATGGGTATCGTAGTCAACTTTTACCTATGTCAGAACTCGAACAACTTCAAAAGAATCAAAATGAACTTATTACAATGAATAGTTTCTTAAGTGCTACAATACAATTCAAAGTAGCTGAACTATACTCAACTCCAATCGATCAATTAGATGCAACATCAACATTACAATCTGTGTATTTCATTATTGATGTGTATAATTTAAGTAGGGAAATGACACCATTTGCTTTGATAGAAAATCATGCATGTAATCCAGATGAAAGCGAAGTACTTTTTTCAATCGGTGCTATATTCAAAGTTAAATCAATAGAAAGTCATAATAATATATGGTATATTTATTTAGAACTAAGTAAAGAACAAAATAAACTTGGTCAAAATTGGTTAGATCATA